ACTTTATATACGAAAGAATTACCTTGATTTTATTTATACGTAATTATTTATAGATATCCTAATTTAATTTTTATGTAAAACATTGTAACAAAATTTTTTAAACTGTGTAGTTAAATATTTATTGGTTTAATGCTTATTAATGTATAATGTTTCGTTGACGAATAAAAAAATTATTAAATAAACAATGTTTTTTGTAAAAGTAGCAAAAAATATCGTCATTGGCTGTATTCATCAATAATTCGATGTAATGCTAAAAGAGATATTAATTTTTTTAGTTTCGATGCAAAGCTGAGAAGGTATTTATTTTACCTTGATGTGCTTTACTATGGTTATTTTTTTTTTTGTATCTTTCACTACTTTTTCTTAGCTCTCACAGGACCGATTTTTCTCAATGATACTCCAAAAAATCACAAATGATGTCTATGAATGTGTTAAAACTTTCATAGATTGTTTTGTTGCTTGAAGTGCTTGAGGATATATCCATGTTTACAGTTGAGTCCGAAACGTCAGAACAAGCAAATGGTGTCTAGTTAAAAACATTACCCTCAAAAATTGAAAAAATTTCCCTCGTGCCCTGTAAATAGTGAAAATCCCCCAAAAAACTACGATTTTTAAAATCGGTAAATTTTGACATTTTTATATTAAAACCTTTAAATTATAATATATATATTAAAAATCCTTTCCTTTAATATCATTTTTTTGAAAATCTGTCACTTAAACTGCTTATGGGGAGATTTAAAATAGTAACTTTTTTTCAAAAGTCAACTTAACTTTTACTTAACTTTTGAAAATATTCCAGAAATATTACGTCTTTTAAACAAATGTTAAATGAAAGCATATGTTACTAACTATAAATAAAAAAAAAAATTTGGCTGCCGTAGTTAAAAACATGCTATTTTTGTGTTAAAATTTTCAATTTTATATTTTCAACTTTAAATTGCCAAAACTTTTTGAAAAATCTGTAGATCAACAGAAATGTTTATGCTCAAAACTTGTATCAACTTCAGACTTTCAAATGGCAACCCTATTTTTTTTTGTACACCATTAGATTTAGATTAATAAAAAAAATATGTTATTCCATTTAATATTAAGTGCTCCACGGCTCTCTAAATTTTAGGGCTTATTGAGAAAAAATTATAACAAATTCGAAAATAATAGGTCGTAAATTGTTGAGCGCTATTCTGACTATGTGCGTTGACACAGTAGACCTCCAGACTAAAAATAATTGGACCGACTTTTGGTAGATTATCATTTCTACCTAGTTGATTTTCTACCTGCCTATCTACTAAAAATATTTGAGAACCATTTAGGTTTATCCATGTGTCACCACAAAGCGGTGGCGGTTTTAGCGTACGAAGAGAGTAGGTAGCTGCCCATTCCAACATTTTTAGCATTTACTTTTGTCCTTTCAAGTTTTACGATAATTATCCAAAAAGGGATCCTAAATATTAATTCAGGACATAGTCTAGTTGGATCGAGCCTAAGAGTTTGTCCTCTGATGTTGAATATTGAATTTCATTTTAACCTAGATTTTTTTAGTCATCATTTGGGAAAGGAAATTTCCTTGTAGACCAGTAAATTTATTCAAAATTCAAAAAAACAGTTGCCACTTTTTCTCGGATTTCACTGGACCGATTTCTTTCAATGATACATCAAAAGATTGTATCTAGTATATTACCCTTAAAAATTGAAAAAATTTCTCTTGTTCACTGTAAATAGGCAAATCTCATAAAAAATTACGATTTTAAAAATCAATAATTTTCAATAATTTGTTCACTTTATTTTATAAAACGGTATATCTTTTTGAAAAATGAACGAATTCAAATAATTTCTTTTTATAATAAAGCCTTAGGCATTTCCCTTTAATTTGATATAAAGTTTTTGAAAATATGCTCACATGGTCGGATTCAAAATAGCAACTTTTTCAACTTAGATTTTGTAAATGTTCCGGAAATACTGAGTTCTTTAAATATATGTCAAATTAAAAATTATAATAAAGACTAATTGTTCAAAAAAAAAAATTTGTCACGACACCTTGTCTTCTATATGCAAATGGCTGCCTAGTAAAAAAATATGCTATTTTTGTGTTCAAATTTTTTTTTTTGAACACCTTACAAGTGTATGGCATAGTTATGAGTTCACAAATTTTTATAAAAGTTATATGAATCTAACATACATTTATTATAAATTTTATTTTATTTTATTTTGATTACTTTATCTTCTCAATGTTAAGAAAAGCGACTTTAAATTTTTGAACTAGCTTAAATTATTATTTATTATTTACATATTCAAGTAATTAACGGTGGCTGCGTTGTATATTATACAGTCTTATATGGTTGGGGTACAAATTTAGAACCCCGCCAGCAAAAATGACTTTTTTTGCATTTTTTTTCTTAATTCTTTATTGAAGTGGAAAAATAATTCAAAATGAATAACAAATAACATTCAATCAAAATATTCAATGAATATCAAGAATTCTATCACTTTAGTCTCCCCTTGTGAAAAGAACTCTCTTATTCACATTAAAATATATTACTATTTTGAATTTGTGTCTGTCATTCACTTTTTTCAGCTCTCACTTATCCAATTTTAATGATCAATACATCGAAAGAACACGATTTTAATCTTGTTAAGCTTTTAATCACCAGATATTGAAAAAAATCTATTAACTCTATAAATTCAGACAAATATCTCAGAATTATGTTTATGTAAAAAATAGCCCCTTCAAAAAAACTTTTTTTAATTAATTACCTCCAAGTTAATATTAGTATAACATTCGTTTTTATATTGAACGACACAATAAAATCATATCATTAAAATTAAATATTTTTTAATAATCATAGACCGATATATACTTTACTAACCTAAATTTTTAGCTCAACTTGCAAGTTTAGAATTTATTTAGAATCATTAAATAGAAAATTTTATGAGGAATAAATAATTATATTTATTAGATTTATATGTGATCAGGAACTTTTTTTTTGTATTTTTATTGTTACAATTGAAATATTCAGAACTATAGTCCGTTATTCCCTATAAACTATATGTTATAGTATTTTATAATATACTGATATTCAAAAATATACTGCGCCTAGTTTCACCTATGATTTCATCCACAGTTGTACTGTTGAATTTCATTTTAACTTATAAATTTTTGGTTATTAGCTTCAATGCGAAGCTGAGAAGGTTTTTTTTTTTTTGTGCCTGATACCACTTTTTTCAGCTCTCACAGAACTGATATCATTCAACAATATATCAAAAAATCACGAATCGTAACTAGTCGCAGACATTACCCACAAAAATTGAAAAAAATTTCGCACGTTCCACGTATATAAGGGAAACCTCCAAAGAAATTACAAATTTAAAAATCGCTAATTTTCGAAATTTTTTCAATTTTCTTTACTAAAATGTGCCGTAACTTTTTCAAAAATGAGCATATTAATATAAATTTTTTTTATATAGATGCTTGATGTCTTTACCTATCATTTGATATATTTTTTTTGTAAATTTGACCCTTTATCTGCCCACAGGGGGGAGTTAAAAGACAACTTTTTCACAAAAAATTAACTTTTGAAAATGTTCCGGAAGGTCTGACACTTTTATATATATCTTAAATTAAAGCTAATGTAATATACTTTAATTTGAAAAAAAAAATTTTGACCTCTGGACTTGTCTTCATGGTGAAAATGGCTATCAAATGCTATTTTTGTATGAAAATTCTCGATTTTATAATTTACATTTTTTACTTTAAAGTGCTATCACTTTTTTTTTTTGGAAACCTCCAAAGAAATTACTAATTTAAAAATCGCTAACTTTCGAAATTTTTTCAATTTTTTTTACTTAAAACTGCCATAACTTTTTCAAAAATGAACAAATCAATATAATTTTTCTAAAGAAATGCATAATGTCTATACCTATTATTTCACATATTTTTTTTATAAATTTGAACCTTTAACCTTTTGTTTTGTCAACAACTAGTGTGACGACCACACCCGAAAAGTTGAATAGTAAAAGTATATTATTGGCTCTGATGAATATTTTTGCAGACCATTTATTCATAATTAACAACAAATTATTATCTAAAAAGTTCTGTGTCAAGCCCTTCAATTTTTATTCACGTTTGCCATTTTTAAAAAAAATTACAATACTAAATTATTAAAAGTCAATTTCATACTATATTTAATTGCCATAATAGATATTTGATTATATATTATACTTATAAATCATAGAACTACTAATTAGGAATAATGAATCATATAGAAGATAATTCTGTTTTTGGATTAATCCACCAATTTCTATAAATTAAACATTATCTATTTTGATCACTGTTAGATATCATCTATAATTGTTCCGGCAGGCCACGTGCTGCCGTTTATTTTTAAATATTTTTTATTTGACGTAAAGATAATTATATTTATGTTTAAATATACTTAAAAATAGTATGAAAATATATAAAAACCCACTATGCTACTGTTTTTATACATATTTACTAAATAATGTCAATAATTCTTAATTTGCATGATAATTTAAAATAAAAAAAGATAATGGTATCCAATATAATTGATGATTAATATAATGTTAGTTTATAAGTTATAAATACTCAATAATTTAAGAAACTATAATGCGCTTAAACATTTTTTTTTCTTTGCGATGTCTAAAGAATGAGTTCATGTTTAAAATGTGCAAAAACTAGAAAACGCATATAAATTTAAGTTGATTTAAATAATAATATAATATAATAAGTAGTAATCTTTTATTTACGAAACACGCTAATTTATTATCTACAAAATAAATTTTTCAATCAATAAAAAACATTTCTTATGGATATGAATATCTTATAAGATATTCATATCCATCACCATGTTACTTAATAAAATATAAGTATAATTTAAAATTACGTGACACTTAAACATTTTGTTTATTCGTTATACTATTCCAAACAACACATATTGTTTAAACATTTGCAAAAACTGTTTGTATTACCATACATAAATTTAAGTTTGAAATAATAATCTTTCATTTTGTTCAAAGAAACACTATATTCATTTTAGTAAAGCAATAATAATTAATATTAGTTTATAATATAAGAAGATGATTAAATTAGTACTGTATATTACTAGTATCCTGTTCAGTTTAATTGGTATAGTATAGTTTCTTTAGTTAAATTTTGTTATATGCGTTGCTAATTTTCTATTTGAAAAACTTGTTTTCTCTATTAATTTTATTGACTGTGTTGATAAACAATAATTTGAGGCTATTAAATTAATTAATTAATTAAAATACCCATCATTCAAAATTTTGTTGTTTCTTTTTATATAAAATAATTGTTCCAATCATATGTAAAGCATAGATTATACACAAAAATTAAAATAAAACTGCGACATTAATATTTATATTATTAAAGTCAATGTTTTTACATTGTAAACAAAATACTTAATTTAGATAACTTATATATTATATTTATTATTATTATTATTAGTAATAGTATTTTTAATCATATTTAACGTCCTCTCTAATACCTAATTAACTCAACTAAGTAAGCTTTCCTATTTAGATTTAAAACTATTTTTAAATAATTTAATCTTAGAACAAACTCATTTTTTTACAGCTCAATCACTAGCCAATGGATGTTTCTGTTTTGCACGCAAAAGAGAAATTTATCACGAGATTGATCCAATTTGTAATTAAAAATAAATTTAACCTTAAGTTATACTTTTTTTCTAATACTTTTTTAATTGGATAAAATATAGAGGATTTAGTGATAATATAACTGTTAACTTAAAATATACTTAAATTTATTTATTTAGTAAAATTTATTAACTGGCTAATTTATACCCCTATAAGGCTGTGATTTTCCTTCCAAATTTTTGATAGGGTAAACGTTTTTTACGAATATTCTCCTTTTTAGTATCTAGGAGGAAGAATGCAGACTAAAAATAAAAATAACACCATTTAAGCTTCTCCACCAATCTATATTTTAAATACTAATAACTTCCAATGTAATGATTAAAATTTTGTAATCGAACAATGATTTTCTTATTTAGAACATTTTCTACTTTATAAGATATTTTAATACATATATTTCCAATTAAAAAATAAAGTTGACACCCCTATAAAATATAAGAGATGGATCTATAAATCATTTTACAACNAATATAATATAATAAGTAGTAATCTTTTATTTACGAAACACGCTAATTTATTATCTACAAAATAAATTTTTCAATCAATAAAAAACATTTCTTATGGATATGAATATCTTATAAGATATTCATATCCATCACCATGTTACTTAATAAAATATAAGTATAATTTAAAATTACGTGACACTTAAACATTTTGTTTATTCGTTATACTATTCCAAACAACACATATTGTTTAAACATTTGCAAAAACTGTTTGTATTACCATACATAAATTTAAGTTTGAAATAATAATCTTTCATTTTGTTCAAAGAAACACTATATTCATTTTAGTAAAGCAATAATAATTAATATTAGTTTATAATATAAGAAGATGATTAAATTAGTACTGTATATTACTAGTATCCTGTTCAGTTTAATTGGTATAGTATAGTTTCTTTAGTTAAATTTTGTTATATGCGTTGCTAATTTTCTATTTGAAAAACTTGTTTTCTCTATTAATTTTATTGACTGTGTTGATAAACAATAATTTGAGGCTATTAAATTAATTAATTAATTAAAATACCCATCATTCAAAATTTTGTTGTTTCTTTTTAAGAAAAATAATTGTTCCAATCATATGTAAAGCATAGATTATACACAAAAATTAAAATAAAACTGCGACATTAATATTTATATTATTAAAGTCAATGTTTTTACATTGTAAACAAAATACTTAATTTAGATAACTTATATATTATATTTATTATTATTATTATTAGTAATAGTATTTTTAATCATATTTAACGTCCTCTCTAATACCTAATTAACTCAACTAAGTAAGCTTTCCTATTTAGATTTAAAACTATTTTTAAATAATTTAATCTTAAAACAAACTCATTTTTTTACAGCTCAATCACTAGCCAATGGATGTTTCTGTTTTGCACGCAAAAGAGAAATTTATCACGAGATTGATCCAATTTGTAATTAAAAATAAATTTAACCTTAAGTTATACTTTTTTTCTAATACTTTTTTAATTGGATAAAATATAGAGGATTTAGTGATAATATAACTGTTAACTTAAAATATACTTAAATTTATTTATTTAGTAAAATTTATTAACTGGCTAATTTATACCCCTATAAGGCTGTGATTTTCCTTCCAAATTTTTGATAGGGTAAACGTTTTTTACGAATATTCTCCTTTTTAGTATCTAGGAGGAAGAATGCAGACTAAAAATAAAAATAACACCATTTAAGCTTCTCCACCAATCTATATTTTAAATACTAATAACTTCCAATGTAATGATTAAAATTTTGTAATCGAACAATGATTTTCTTATTTAGAACATTTTCTACTTTATAAGATATTTTAATACATATATTTCCAATTAAAAAATAAAGTTGACACCCCTATAAAATATAAGAGATGGATCTATAAATCATTTTACAACAGTTATTAAATACATATGTAACTAACAAAATGGAAACATTAATTTTCAAAAAAACATTATCTTAAGGGAAATCTAGTAACTATGGTTAAAATAATCACACAGTATATTTTGTAATTATGTACGGAACGACATATTATTATGAANAATTAACTCAACTAAGTGAGCTTTCCTATTTAGATTTAAAACTATTTTTAAATAATTTAATCTTAAAACAAACTCATTTTTTTACAGCTCAATCACTAGCCAATGGATGTTTCTGTTGTGCACGCAAAAGAGAGATTTGTGACGGGATTGATCCAATTTGTAATTAAAAATAAATTTAACCTTTAGTTATACTTTTTTTCTAATATTTTTTGAATTGGATAAAATATAGAGGATTCAGTAATATTATAACTGTTAACTTAAAATATACTTAAATTTATTTATTTAATAAAATTTANGTATAACCTTATGACTAAACATATTAAATTTCAGATAACCTAAATGATACAATAAAAGGTAATTCGATATTTATTTGTATATAACCGAGCTATTATTTTACTAACTATTATTCACATTCTAATAGAAATTTAAGTTAAATTTTGTTTTTATATTTCAAATTATTGATACCACTCATTAAACTATAATATTTTAATTAAAATTATTCATCATATTTAATGTCAATATTAATTAAAGTAAAATAAAATAGACAAATATATTAAATATGTTTTATTACAATAGTTAAATTAATCAACTGTTTAATTTATAGAGGATGCTGCAGAAATATCTAATGGTAACTGAAAACATACTTAGATGTATTTATTTAATCAAATGCATTAACTGGCTAATTTATACCCCTATAAGGCTGTGAATTTCCTTCCAAATTTTTGATAAGGGTAAATGTTTTTTTCAAATATTCTCTTTTTTAGTACCTAGGAGGAAGAGTGCAGACGAGAAATGACTAAATATAAAAATAACACCATTTAAGCTTCTCCACCAATCTATATTTTAAATACTAATAACTTCCAATGTAATGATTAAAATTTTGTAATCGAACAATGATTTTCTTATTTAGAACATTTTCTACTTTATAAGATATTTTAATACATATATTTCCAATTAAAAAATAAAGTTGACACCCCTATAAAATATAAGAGATGGATCTATAAATCATTTTACAACAGTTATGAGATACATATGTAACTAACAAAATGCAAACATTAATTTTCAAAAAAACATTATCTTAAGGGAAATCTAGTAACTATGGTTAAAATAATCACACAGTATATTTTGTAATTATGTACGGAACGACATATTATTATGAAAATAATATTTATATCTTATAAAATACAAATTATGTATTTCCAAATTTAAGAAAACTTATAACCTTATGACTAAACATATTAAATTTCAGATAACCTAAATGATACAATAAAAGGTAATTCGAAATTTATTTGTATATAACCGAGCTATTATTTTACTAACTATTATTCACATTCTAATAGAAATTTAAGTTAAATTTTGTTTTTATATTTCAAATTATTGATACCACTCATTAAACTATAATATCTTCATTAAAATTATTCATCATATTTAATGTCAATATTAATTAAAGTAAAATAAAATAGACAAATATATTAAATATGTTTTATTACAATAGTTAAATTAATCAACTGTTTAATTTATAGAGGATGCTGCAGAAATATCTAATGGTAACTGAAAACATACTTAGATGTATTTATTTAATCAAATGCATTAACTGGCTAATTTATACCCCTATAAGGCTGTGAATTTCCTTCCAAATTTTTGATAAGGGTAAATGTTTTTTTCAAATATTCTCTTTTTTAGTACCTAGGAGGAAGAGTGCAGACGAGAAATGACTAAATATAAAAATAACACCATTTAAGCTTCTCCACCAATCTATATTTTAAATACTAATAACTTCCAATGTAATGATTAAAATTTTGTAATCGAACAATGATTTTCTTATTTAGAACATTTTCTACTTTATAAGATAGATTAATACATATATTCCCAATTAAAAAATAAAGTTGACACTCCTATAAAATATAAGAGATGGATCTATAAATCATTTTACAATAGTTATGAGATACATATGTAACTAACAAAATGCAAACATTAATTTTCAAAAAAACATTATCTTAAAGGAAATCTAGTAACTATGGTTAAAATAATCACACAGTATATTTTGTAATTATGTACGGAACGACATATTATTATGAAAATAATTTTGAAATCTCATAAAAAATACAAATTATGGTTTTTCAAATTTAAGAAAACTTAAATGTAAATGTAAAGGTAATTCGAAATTTATTTGTATATAACCGAGCTATTATTTTACTAACTATTATTCACATTCTAATAGAATTAATTTAAATTTTGTTTTTATATTTTATTGATACCACTCATTAAACTATAATATTTTAATTAAAATTATTCATCATATTTAATGTCAATATTAATTAAAGTAAAATAAAATAGACAAATATATTAAATATGTTTTATTATAATAGTTAAATTAATCAACTGTTTAATTTATAGAGGATGCTGCAGATATATCTAATGGTAACTGAAAACATATTTATATGTATTTATTTAATCAAATGCATTAACAGGCTAATATGTAGACTTATAGAACTGTGAATTTCATACACTAAAAAACATGATATAAGCCTGACAAAGTACATTAAAACCATATCATTAACACATTTGATAACAAATTTTTGAAAAGGCTAAATTTTTTTATATATTTTTCTTATATATATTTCCATTTTTAGTACCTAGTCGGAAGTCATAATGTGGACGAGATGTATTAGTTCAAAAATTGTTATAGATTAATTATTATATTTTAAATAATTTTCTATTTTATATGTTAGTTTAATACATATGTTTCTTATAAGCAATAAAATAACCATGTATATAATAATAGTGAAATTTATTAACTGTTTAATTTATAGATAATATAGTAAATAATTCAGAAGGTAATGGAAAAAATACATATATTTATTCATTTAATTGCAATAAATATAATAAATAATTTATTTTGGTACCTAAGGACGAGAAAATTTACATCATTTTCTATTTTATAAGCCAATTTATTACATAATTTTCCGTTTAAGGAATAAAATATAAAATAAAGTAGTCGTGTATATAATAATAGTGAAATTTATTAACTGTTTAATTTATAGATAATCCAGAAAATAATTCAGAAGGTAATGGAAAATATGCATATATTTATTTATTTAATTACAATAAATTTAATGAATAAATTTTTTTGGTGATATCAAAATTTATTTAGATAATAGTAACATATTTCATTACCGATTTCCGGTTAAAATGTCATAACTTTTATTATGTACAATCGTAATTATATTAACTAATTTATTATAATAATAAACAATTATTGTTAAAATAATTATTAATATCAAAGAAATATTTGGTGTAACTTTGACAACCCAAACTATCTATATAATTTTAACATGCAGCGTTTGTATAGATTTGTCATGTCATATTTGCCAACAAGAGACAAACTCAGTTACCTTATCCCCCTGTGGTCACAATATAGGAAACTATTGCGCAAATAAATTCTATAGAGTTATATGGAATTGTCCTTTTTGTAATAAAAAGATAGACGATTTTAAAAACATTGGTAGGTAACATGAATCATATGCTTTTTAGTTAACTTTTTAATTTATATTGTATTAGAAAAATTATTAACGGATAAAACATTAAAATTATTTATAGTTGATTTGAATGATTGTGAATTTGATAAACGAACCATATACCGATTTCGTGCCCTTACTGAAATAGAGTTTGGTCGTTTAAAGGATAGTATAGAGAATGGTATGACTGACGAAGAATTTATGGCACGTTTTTGGTATCTTCGACGTTGCCAAGAACCTGATAAACTACTGCTGGAAACCATTAAAGATTGTATTATAACTAAAGAAGATCGTAAGAATATTGCAGAACTTAAGGCTGAGATTTTGTCTTCAAAGTCTTCCATAACTTCAGAACTAGAAATGTATCAAAAAACATTTAAACAAGAGATAACTCGATTTGAAACAACAACAATGTATACATTTTTTGTTCGATTAAATATTTTTGATGTAAACTTCGAATTTCTGATACGAAAGATGTATTTGAATTGCTCATAACGTAATTATTTATTGATTTATCAAAATAGTTTTTATAAAAAAATACTGTCTATAAACACTATGAATTTTATACCTATTTGCCATACTAATCTTAATATTTATACAAAATTATTATTGTTTTGATTTCAAATGAATAACTAAGTCTGTTTTGTGTATAAAATTGTATTTAGAGTTTCACTAATTTAAAATGTTTAGTAAGCGAATAAAAAATTCATTAAACTAACAATTTATTATGATAATGTAACAAGAAAAACGTTTATTGTCTGTATTTTATAGGGTATAAAGGATAAATTAAAAAATTTATATTAATTGATAAATTGAGAAATGTATAAAACTAAAAAATGTCAAAAAGGTTTTTTATGCACAATTTCTGTTTAAAATATTACTTTTAATAACTATTTTTTAATTAGATCATTTTTAATTTGATTATGAACATACATAATTTAAAATTCGTCTTGTATAATGTGTTCGTTAAATAAGAAAACGGGATTCTATTGTTCTCTTTGGTCGTTACGATGGATCTGTTACATTATTTACTGAAGAATCTGTTTATTAAATTTAGTTATACTAAAAATATTTTCTTAATATTTTTTTAAGAGTAATCGGATGTTTAACATTAAATCAATTACTTGTTACAACAACATTGTAACTTTTTATACTTGTCAGTAAAATTTACAACACTAAATTATTCCATATCAATTTCATACTAAATTTAATCACTCTACCAAGTAATTATTCATGTATTATACTTATATATCATTCAATGTAAATTTCATTCACATAACATTTATTAAAATCACTGACCACATCACTGTAGCCTTCTTTACATGCATCATTAAAAATTATAGTAAAAAAATATTTAAAGGAATATGTATATACCACTTCTACAATAAATTTTTACTGATACATACATTCTTCAAAAAATTAAAGTAATATTAAGTCGAAAAAATAAAATATGCAATCGAAAGTTTTAACACAAAATTAGCATGTTTTTAAAATACGGAGCCATTTGCACATCGAATAGATAAGGTGTCAAAACAATTTTTTTAACATATATTTCGTAACATATACTTTAATTTAACATATGTTTAATTTTCGGAGTAATCACGGAACAATTTCAAAACCTAAGTTGAAAAAGTTAAATTTATGTGCAAAAGAAACCCCCACTGTAAGCTGATACAGGATCAAATTTTCAAAAAGTTTATTCCAAACGAATGGGAAATACCTAAATAAATATTTAAAAAAAGATAATTTTGTTTTATTCAGTTTTAAGAATAAAAATTTTTTAAATGTCGACGTTATCTGATTTTATAAGTATAAATTTGTTAGGGATTTCTCTCATTTACAAGGAGTGAGGGAATTTTTTTAATTTTTTAAGAGCAGTATCTTTAATTAGATACGATTTGTGATCTTTTGACGTATCGTTGAAAGAAATCAAATTTTTAGCATAGTATTGAAGCTAAAACAAAGACATGTAATTTTCACCAATTGTTACTTATAACTGATATTCTTAATTTTACTTAAAATTATTGACAATACAAAAATTTGTATGACACTTTTCTAAGTAAAATCACAAATTCTATAAAATATTCGTGACGACTTTTATGAAAAATTATAACATGTGCACTGCGCAGTTATCTATGGATATTGCGTAAACTAAATTACAAATTTGTACATTTTCTCTATTATTTGAGCTTATTTTTTATAAACTCATATGAAAAAAATTCCCAGTTCCCAAAAATTGGCATTACTCAAACTTTAAATTATGCACTTAGGAAAGGTTCAGTTTATACTTGCACATAAACTCAGACCACGTCCATAATCACTCATATTAAAATTCCTGGAACTAAATGAGTACTTTTTCTAAAGTTGTTATCAACATTTTTTGTAAGAATCGAATTTTTTGAAATTTTGAAAAAGAAATATTAAATACAAATTTCATATATATTTTCTATTTATTAGTAATAAATAATAAAAATTTAAACGAAATCTAAGAAGGCAATAATTATTAAAAAATGTTTAAAAATATAGATATTAAAAATTAATTTTTAACTAGTGGTATGCAACATTATCGGCTGGAAAATTATATCATGAGTATATATTTTTAAAATGATTTAAATATTTTGTTCAATATAATTTTCTATTGGAAATTAACTATATTTAGTAAAATAACTTATTTATTTTACTCAAAATGACTATAATACTAATGAAGAAATCGGACCAATAAAACTTTTGTTATCACATCCGACCAATAAACTAAAAATGAGTGAACACACACACACAAGTGTCACTCGTTGTGAACGGAGTGCTAAATATCATCGATGATGATTATTTTTCAATTATCGTAAGCAGTTGGATTAAACCGCGACTTTCTCAGGCGCTCAGCTCAATTGAATCGTTATTGCTCTTCGGCGGCAGAGTTGTTCAAAGAGGTTATCGGTTTGACATCTCGATTGGTTCTTGAGGGACGCTGACACAGGCGATGGTCCGGAATGACGAACCAAACACCTTATAGAAATAATCATAGTAAATAATAACAATATTATTAATAGCGTCGGATACAATTAGTCGCTGTCACCGCCGCCGATTGAAAAACGATTACATACCATTAGCTGGGCCGGGTGTTTCACCGATGTAATAATAATGTTACATCATATTGCATTATCAACAGGTACGCGTCTGTTGGAAAACGCGTTGTACTGATCATCTTACCCGCCGCCGCCGCCTTACGATTACCGCGAGTCTTTTGATCTCTGGGCGTAGAAAATAATAATAAAATATTGACACGTCAAACTTCATTAGTCACGCGACAGCAAACGAGTCTTTCGTTTGATTTATGAACCTAGCGGCATTTGCTTTTTTCCACTCGCCTCGCGTTTTTCAATCAGTGTGTTTTTTTTAGTGATTATAACTCGGCCAACTCCCGACGCTTAATAATATGACATATAAACAACGCACACGTGTAAATCTTGTATGACGCCAACACTTGTCGCCACAGATTATTAATACTTCCTGTTCGAATAGGAGTAGTTGGTTAATTAAACAAAAACCGAGAACGTCAAGACTGTCCGATTCTGTAGTTGAAATTTCGTTTGTGCTCGCCCAGGTAAATGTTTTATCGTCGATTTTTATTGTTTAGCTTTTATACCCGTTTTGACTGTAATAATTTCCTTATTAAGGTGAAAACTTTGAAAAATTCATTAACTGCGACACTCGCCAGTTTAATCGAGTGGGCCTGTTGTTAAATACAAGTCGTACATAGTATGTAATACAAGTCGTTTAAAACAACTGCAACAATTAAAAACGACAACTGTAATTTATATCTGTCTCGTCTGTTTTTATTTTTTGTAAAACGCACTTGGTTAAATGTTACATTTACCGATTACTCGGATTAGCTGCTCACGAAATACGTGTAATTCAAGAAAAAAACAATTTCAAATGTCACGAGGGAAATAATGTAAATGTAACCGTTTCAGCGCAACACCTATCTATATCCAAAGTGCATTGACAGTAACCTTGGGTAGGTGGAATGCTAAACCGGAGGGTTGCAAAATGATGAATTCTCCTTAGATACCGCCGGCTCGAGTAATATTATACAAAGTTAATTTCCGCACTGCCAATCAAAAAATTGACACACGACTACTACCCCCCCGAACTGCTGGCGTACAACAGAATAATAATATAATATTCACTTGGTCCGCAGAAACTCCCGTGCCGTCGTTTCCTTCGTCTATAGGATTGTATGTAATACAATTTGAAAGGCAGTGCCGACACATCGACCGCCATCATCACATCGACGGGAATTATTTCTTCGGAACTTTTTAATTAAAAGCACACAGTTATTTCACTCTTTAGGTGTGTAATGTGTATGAACAACGGAGGTGCAAAAAAGTACAATAGTGTCATTATTTTGATTATTTCTTTATTATTTCATACAAAAGTAATGTTATATTAGCTTACGACAGACTGAACATTTCTTGTTATACAAATCAGAGTACACAAGTTGTTTAGTTTATCGGGATAACTTTTGATGATCCACCTTGATATAAAATCTGTACAAGTTAAATTAGAAAATATATTTCCGTACACTTAGAAATGTGTTGCACTCAAGTTATTGCAAAATAGAAATTTCTGTATGGTTAATTATAGGGATCATTTGTCAATCTAATAGGTGAAACTCGATATCCCGAGCTGAGTTATATGTTCACTAGCGCTGCACAAACAAAAGTCATATATGTACTTCATAACGTTAATTATAAATATAATTCGTTCGCATTACAACTATTTTGGAACTGTAAGTTATACGGTCTTCGTAGACAGAAACAGATAACACTTTTCAGTAAATTTATAACTGATGGAAAACACTGAAAAGAATAACAGTTTATAGGTGTTATCATCACGTCATCAAAGCAATAATTTAATAAAATACTATTGAAATAAGTATAAAAAATCACCCAAATTTGACTTGCCGGAAGCATTTAAGTCTAATTACGATGGAATATATCACAAAACATCATTTTGGTATCCAGTAATTATACTTGAATTTGTTTGCATTTAAATATTATGTTATTAAAAATAAAACAAAATGTAGAAAACGACTTGCTGATTCATTTCTGTGATAATGCGAGTGGCAAACGAAATTTTCAATCTGGACTTGCTGTCAAGTACTCGGAGACTGGATGACTGATGATCGTTTATGTGTGTGTTTGTTACCGAAGACAGGCGGAGGCCTCGAGGAATTGAAAACTCAATTTATTTTACTAACGCCTGTGTGCGTGCGTATGTACACGACCATTAAGCAACTCCGTCTAACACGATCATCCCGACACGGTCAAACGATATAAAAAAATCTAGGCAGGTACAAGTTATTATAACGTTAATTATTTTTACACTATAGATACACCTTGAGATGTTAGACAAATACACAACTATTTAAACATTCTTTTATTAGTTCTGTTCCCAATGGATGTAATTGGATATACATTGGTAAGTCTTCTGGCTATTCTATAATATTGTCATAAAACATTTTGATCTGTAATCAAAATTTTCCAATTTTAACAAACATTTAGACAAGATG